TGGGACGGAAACTAAAATAGCAGAGACATTTTGAACAAAATTATTTCGAAATAACGAAAAAAGTAGGACGGTGATCGAAATAGGTATTAGAAAATGAACAAGTGTAGGTAGTGGAAGAACCCAAATTGAGTACAAGCGAATACGTTGAAGGCACCAAGAAATTTCACGCAAACGACAATTGTAGGTGGTGGTAAATAGAAAAAAATCAAAATCATCAATATACAGGAGAAAAACAATGGGAGACATGTACTGAGTATGTAAAGTCAACTAGTTTAGGAGACAGTGCGAAAACTTTTTGGATTTGAAATGAACATGAAAACAAAGTCTACGATAAGAACTGATTATCATATACATTCAAAAACTGCATATAAAACTAAGACTTTCAGCATAAAATAAACAATAACAAATAGAAGTCAAATAGTTCTGTAAACCTGTTAACGACGACATTTCATTTTTTCGAATTCATCAAATGAGCATATTGAGTGATAGTTGGAATTCTTAGAAATAATCCAGCAGTGGCATAATATATTAAGGTGAATGTAGTAGCGAAATTCTTTACACAGACTGTACCTTGCTAAAGGAAACCTATGAAATCATACTTAGAAACCGTCTACGCAGTTTCTCACTGCAAAACAAACTACCAAATGCAAGAAGCTGATGGTCAGGAAGTCACAGCAACAAGTAAGACCAATACCTGTTAGAGCACAAGACAGAAGTTCTGTCTTTTTGAGGCCACGCCACTAGCGCGCTAGGATAAGCTTAGCTCACATAGCCACTGGACGAAGTTTGCTGGAAAGGTGTGCCATAGAATATGTACAAACTATTCATAAGTTAACAAGCGTATTAAGCCTATGCCTATTTACCTAGTATGCCAACAGCACCTTAATCTGGAAACAACCAGTCAACACAGATACACCGCAACAGTATATTGGTTTCGACTACATGCTTTTCAGTAACATATTTCACTAGCCCATGCAGCATATTGACTAAAAGCTACGTGAACTAGTGAAATATGTTGCTGAGGAGCATGAGTAGTCAAAACCAATATACTTTGATGTGTAACTGTATCGGAATTATTCGCAGACAATTAGAAAAAAAATAAATCCTAACCACAAACTGGTAGATGGACTGAATAAAATACGCTAGTTGATGAAAGTTTTGGCGGAAAACTTTGTTTACGTAGGATCCTGAGGTCAAATTGTTCGCCACTGTTACCACTGTTTTTGTTCAAATTTATTGCAGGATTTTGTTTAAGCTGCAACTACTTTACGGAACTGCTTACAAGCACAAATAAACTACTAGACCATGATAAGTTATTTAAATCCTGCAGTCAGAAGCTGATTGTATTTTTTACGCTGATCGAATGTCCAAATGTCTTATGAATTCGAAAGCCCTACTTAGAACCCAATAGTAATCGGAAGCGAACATATGAAGTATTTGACAATTATAGTCATACAGTCCACCAAATCACCTTTCATCATGGAGAAAATACGAAAAAACGGATTATGGTATATCACATACTTGATTAAAATAGATTTTAACCTACTTTAATTAAGTATGCTAAACTATTCCTACGGAAGTGTAAACATACAACAATGAGCAGTGATGCTAACGACAAGCATCATAATACTACAATGAACTACAACACAACGTACACCTTAAAGACGAGCTTGATAACCTCTTTCCTCTCGCGATCTACAAACCAGTTAACAACGTGTTTGCACCGCAAAGGAGGCTGTCGCTCTTCATTAGTTGGACAAAGAAGTTGGAAGAAACGATGGTAATTATTTAACGACCATGCTGACCGAAGTTTCAAAGCAAACGCCACGCACGGATTTGTCTTGTGGGTAGGTCGTAAACCTGCCATTATGGTATTGATACCTGTTAAACCCAAAAAACACAAATATTTACGTTTTAATTGATGTTGTTCGTTAGCAAAACGACTACTGTTATAATCACAAAAATATGAAGTGCTTTCACTGAACAATGTAACTGAAACACAGATTTGGTAATCAAATTTCTTATGAAATGTTATATCTTTGCCTGGTAATCTTATGAACCTCCTGATTTTCTGGATTCACGTTTCACACCAATCATTCTTGCATACATTTGCCATGTTTCGGGTCCAATCACATAACCTAACTTGTACAATAGAACCTTAGTTCGGTGCTTACTGCTTTTTATTAGCAGTTTCAGTTATCTTCCTGAACTGTAGCACGATGATTCATAAAAATGAAACAAACGACTTTTTGAACATGCAATTATTTCAGAACCAGAAATAAGCGAGAGGATAGTCAACAGAGCCTGAATAACGCTACATATAAATGCCATTGAATAAATAGATAAAATAGTGCTGCTGATCATGCTCATTTGCTATTCACATATTCTCTTTAGTCGGTACTAAAAATTGGATTTCTACATTATCTTCTTGAAATATGAAATCTAATGAAATGAAAATCTTGCATTAAAACAGCTACTATATTTTTAAGTCGTCACTACTGCATCGTTTGAAAAAAAGCCCACAGAACGATTACGTATCTTCATAATTCAAAGTAATGCTTGCAAATGGTTAGCAAGAAACTGATGTGTCCTGCAAGTAAAATGGCTAAAACTACAAGTAAATCACACCAGAAGAGATTAAATGATAACGCCAAAATATATTTGGGAGGATTGATAGTCACCTAAATTTTTATTACCTGAAAGAGCCATTTTAAATTTGTAGGCGTGTTTTCGAAGTGCTTACAGCACCTTCTATCGATTAGGATCAATAATAATTTACAGATAAGCACTACGCAAAACTATTTAGAGTCGAGGGGACATATCGCAAATTCGATTCTGAGGTAACAGGTAGGAAACTAAGCGACGAAACACTGTCTCAAGCTAAGTAGATTTATTTTAAAAATTGAGGAAACGTGGCATAAACAGATTACTAAGGGCCACTTTACTACAGACAAAACCGTCGTCTGTTATTAAATTGGATTAGATTTATGTAATGCAGTATAGTTCAACATGGCCTCCGGAGATACTCTCGTAAACATTCGTCCGAGATACCAACTAGATTCAAGGTGAAGTTATAAATCTTTAAATTTCGAGTCAACAGAACCCACTACATAAGTTGTTACAGGATAAATGGTAAGAAATATAACAAAACTTACCTAAAATGTCAAGAGTAAAGATATAGTACAGAAGTCGATAGGCAGTAAACTCTAACAATCTACCAACTCCTAAACCTTCTTTATGAAGACGTAGCAGCTGACTTTGGCACTGATGAAACTCTTCAAAATCTCCCGCTTCTAAAGCAGCATCTGCGTGAGCTTCATAGACAGATACAGCAAAGTCATCTTCAATGCCTTGTACCTAAAAGTAATGAGGAACAACGTTTAAAAACCAAGAAAGACAAGTCATAAGAAATCATCATCAGGTAAACATTTCTATTTGAAAATGAAGATATTATTAGTGTGCGCGTCACAAAAAAAGTCATGCTGAAAATCGAAACTGTATGCTTAACATTAGAAACACATAATCTCCTATTTATGAGGCATTCGTGTTGCATTATAATTTCTACCCAACTAGAGATGATCAAGAAAACTTGAGGTGCGCTTACAAAAGGAATAAGATCGAGATAAACCCAGCAATTATGTGCATATCTTTACGGTAAGCAAAATCTACTGTGGAGTTAATTATGACTTGCTGCCCAGACCTTGGATGCGAAAAGGAGTTCAAGTCCATGACAAACTGGCTGAAAATGGACTGCCTATACTTATGCGTTTTAGTTTTAAGCGGACAGACGGAAATAAAGCATAACCAGAAACAATAAAAGCATAGCAGACAAGTTACAAGCAGACCGACTGTACTGAAATTTTAATGTCATAATATAAATAGCAATAACATGAACTTGAAGACAGGCCAACAAAACAAATAAGCAAATGATGGTACAAAATTTGCAGTTTAGTACTGTGTGCCAAAACACGAACAAAAATGAAAGTAATTTGTACCATCGAGAAAGACATTCTATGGGCTCATTCAAAAAGCACACCAGAAATCCAACCTCGTCCTGTAAACGTCGGGAAAGTTGATTTTCAAACCCCTAACACAACAAATCAGCTGCTCTAGAAACAATAAAGCACATGAATGGTCCCACGTTCATGTGTGATAGAAAGACTAGCGATTAGCAGCCTTATACAGAGAATCTCAGAAATGAATGCCACTAATCAATGAGGCTTCAAAGAACAGAAACTTTACAGTATGTGCTGACAACTGAATTTTATTCATTTAAAACACAAACTCAGTACTAACTTACTGACAAAATCGGAATAGAACTACGCACACCGGTGCATCGGTTCAAGTTGCACACTTTACTGTACACGAACAACAGGTGGATATAAAATGAGTGATATTAAAGTAGATAAAGCAGTGTGGGAGAATAAACAACCTGAAGATAAAGGATAGTGTGAATAGTCAAACATCAGATGTCAAGAAGTGAATACATTTGCGCTCCTGTAACCCATTTTCAGATGTCACTAAAAGTACTCAACCACTTACTCCTTTCGTCTCGACAATTCGGGCCAGGCAGCCTACACCTCCCTACATGGTTCAGACCACCAGTTGGGGGCTTCACTGGCTGATGCCAGGTCTTGACAACACCGGACCATCTCCCAAACTAATCCGAATTTCAATAGCATGGCAAGTCGAGGTGTGCATTGGCTCGGCATGCGCAGCAGATGTCCAAACATTTTCCGTGGCCAAAAGTTCACAACCTCACTAATCGCTATGTGTCTTCTACGCTTCGCCTACGTGTTTCACAACGGCACAACAAGACAGAAAGTAGTTAACTCATCCTTTGATAACTAGTCGGATACCTCGCAGATTGGAGAACGCCAAATAAACCTTCTGTATTCAAGCTGATATTTCGTCACACACAGTTAGACACTACCACAACACCTCATGGTTGACACAGTCAAATCCCGCCTTCAAGTCAACAAACATACCAAGTGTCGGTCATTGGCCGGTAGGTACGCCTGTGTTCCACAACTTGTCGCAGAGTAAAATGTGATCGCGGACATACACGAGCCCATACTACAGCGTGGCCAGAGTTCAAACAGATACTTCAGAGAGAGCGGTAATCCTCCACTGATCCTCTCCAATGATGACTTACAGCAATGTATGTGTCCATCGTTGGTCTGATGTCGGTGGACGCCATGTGAGACAGTATCTCTCCTTACGCCTAAAGTTAGTGATTGTGGCGCTTGGTGTCCGATTCCGTGCAGAATTCGCACGTCTGAAGCTTTCTGTATAAAGTCGATGGTCCGATCGTTTGCAGTGGCTGCAGAGTGAGGTTGGGTAAAGCGTAAAAGGCTTGATATTAGTACCAAGTGGTGAAGGTAAAGAAACGGAACTGAGGGGAATAGGTCATGTTCGATTGGGTTGAGGATGCTACTAGAAGAGTGCGGAAGGTTGACAATTTCCACCTGCCACACCATGGGATGCGATTTCTTCTCATGGTACCTGAAAGAGAAAAAGATTTGTGACTGCAGGAACCATGGAACATCCGCTTGAGGCCGGTCACTGACGGCCTTTTTGATGCCGCGGTAACTGCACCGTAATATGGGAGATGTGGCTGGAAATAAGTCCTGCGGTTTTAAATTACCACTAACAACTGATAATTGATCTGGGCCATCATAATGTGTCATCTCACTGTGTAGGAATATGTTAGAATCAACTGCTTTTGTTTGACCCCTATCCAACGGACTTTTCTGATATGGTAGGACCTCGAAGGACCAAGCGTTTCACCAACAGCTTGTTAAGACATCGACCACCGTATCAAGGTAGTAGCTACAGCTATACTGTCGGCACCAGAAAACCAAAGGTTGCATGGAGTGCGCTACTTCCGAAGATGACCACTTCGAACCCCGTCTACCCGCTGGAAAGTCAGCTGCAGCGAGGCGCCAATGGTCATCCAAGGAAAACACTCTACTGTCATCACAGCCCGTCTAGCCAGCAGTACGACTTCACCATAAGACCCTAATCACGGTTAAGTAATTTACACTACAATGGTAACTGTCTTTCAACTCACCACTATCCAACATAGCTTTGTGGCATAGTAGGATCTCAAGGGAAGAACCGTTTCACTAGCATAGCTCTCTGAGTTGTGACATACAAGCCTGACGACCATATCAAGGTAGCAGCTATCAGCACACATCATCACCATCAATATCAACATAGGACCAGCCATTACTGCGTAACGATCCAAATTGCCACACCTCACACCACTACACCAAATAAAAACGCAGTGGCAGTGAAGTGCAATGATGAAGAAAACAAAACTCAGTCAAAGAAATACAAAAGTACGAAAAGAGAGGGAAAGAAAGAATGAGAAAATGGTGAGATTCGACAAAGCATCAAGATGAGGATAATGTGTGTATGCATCTACACCACTGACATCGGTTCTCAGCCATATCACCTAGAGTCTCCAACTACTGGTTACTCTTGTTCCGCCGACCCCAACCACCCAGTATGCATCACCCCACATGACTCAAACCGACAGTCAGAGACTTCATACATTGGTGCCATGTTTTAGTCTGGCCACCTCGGACCTTTTTCCAGCCTGAACCTACTTCGGCCAACATTGTGTGATGAGGCAATCAGCGACTAGGCATACGTAACACGTGTCCCAACAATCTCAGTCCATCAAGGTTCACAACCTCACCAACTGATCTACCTCTCCTCCCTAAAACTCTACGCCTGACTTCTACATTACTCACCTGGTGACAGCACGGAAGGCGGTCTATACTACGAAGGCAACGGTGGTCAAACATCTAAACCCAGCCTTCTCATGTCTTCCACCTTCAATCAATGACCATGTTTCACAGCCATACAGTAGAACAGAGAGGACTGTTGTGCAGGTCCAGTACACGCGACCCTCAATAGACAATCGGATACCACGGCGGCACCACAGGCGGCGTAAGTTGGCAAAAGCCAGTCGAGCCTTTTGCATTCGTGCACAAATTTCATCGGCCACTGAGCCAATAGGACTGATCCCACTTCCCAGGTAGGTGAAGTGGCCAACACACTCAACCACTATACTCTCTATTGTTAGCCGCGGTGGGGCACCGTTGAAGACCAATCCTGGAGCAACAATTTCCATTTTGGTGGTGAGAACCGCATCCCAAACATTCTCAAATTCCCACTTAGTGTTCAGAAGACTCTGCAACTTCACCCAACACGACTATGTTATCTGCATATTCTAGGTCTAACAAAAATTCTCTTGCGGTTAGGTCAACCTCCGTGTAATCAGGTGACGAGAGGGAGACCTTCATAAGAATATCTATGATAAAATTGAAGAACAAGAAATGAGTCACATAAGGGGACACAATAAAAATACGAATATAAAAATCAAAAAGGGGCTTAGGTGATTGAAGATGGTTTGAAACATGTTCAAAAAGTGAACATCCATGCATTAACTCTTTACAAGCAAGATAAGTAGAAAAATTACATTTTTCACGGTGGTTAAGATCCCAGCAGTGTCTAAAGCTGTTGGTTTGAAAAGTTAATCCCTTAGGTCCACATAGCTCATCACTCAAAAACCTGAAAGCCTCTGACGATTTTACCAGTTAGAGCAATTCCTAGGTGAGGCTAAAAATTATTTCTAACCTTTGTCGTATTCTATGTAGAAATAAGTATTTACTGAGTTTTGTAGACATATATTTTGAAGTGAAAACTGCAGTCGTAAATCGTTTTTGTTAGAGTTTGTAGGTTAAGATGACTTCTTTCAATTTGTACACATTCTTTATAAATATATGTATTTACATTGCAACTAGGAGATAGAAGTGCATCCAATACTTTGCACATGAACAAATGACACGTTCAGTGACGGAGAGGGTTTTAGAAACTACAAAAGTAGGTGAAATAAGCCTACAGGATGTATAAAATGAGCGAATTCACGCGCAGAACGCTATATCTCACAACAAGCACGATAACATTCGGGGATAACTTTTAGCCTTACCCAGTTAACAGACCGAAAATGTCAGATACACTGTCTACATTATTTAGTGAAGTGACTGAATTGCATTATACAGAGACTAGTGTGTTCTGCTACAGCCCTACAATCAGAAATTCGAATACAAAATGCAGTTGCACAAGATGAAAAAAAGCGGTATCATTAGAGTTGATAAAATGTGACGGACATGATAATTTTAAATATTTGGAATGATTTTTAGAATCACAGAGAACTTTGATCTTTCTCTCATTTTGCGGGATGGTTGATCAACTACTTTTAATGAACCAATTATTCCTGATGTGTTGTAAACAAAAGCATTCAAATACAAATTGTAAAAGCGGAAATCTGTAGAATGAAACCACTAACCGTTAGATCTTGCCGAATACTTTTGAACTGCTCGCAGACCCATTGATAATCAGAATTGGAATTCCACCTTTCCTTGACATGTTCCAAGGAAAGTTTTAAAACAGCTAAGGGTCGAACTTCAGATGGATCAGGAGCCTGAAAAATATAAATAGGTTTAATGAGAAACGGAAGGCGCACATAGCAGTAAAATATTTTGACCATTTCATAAAATCAATCAATTCTTCTACTGACAGGCTTAAGTATACAGTAGGTTTCCGTGTGGGCAGAGATACTATTATAATGCCTGTTAAACTATAAACTAAACTACATTGATGAACTCAATACTCAGGTTTATATATTTTGTGGTGCTTGTGTACCATGAATGGACGAAGTACTTAAAGTTGGCAACTGAATACGTATAGATTGATGCACACTGTTCAAACGAAATAACTACCTCGAATCTTCACGTGCTCCAGAGAAAAATTTCGTAATGACAATAATTCATGGTATAAAAAATTTTTATGGGAATAAACGGTCGTAAAGTACTATTCACGGCACACTTCCGCATAATCATTCTGTTGAAATCAACATGATAAACTGTTATTCAAAGCATCATTCATGGAGTAATAATGTACTACTGTGCTATATCGAATACATAAAATAACTTTAAACGACGCTAGGATACTGAAGAGTTTCGATAGTGATGACTTAACACTTATGCACAGTTGAACATCTTTGCATATACGGATTTATTTTGCTTGATTGCTTGTTCCGTAATAATGAAAATGATTAGATTATTCACAAGCATTCCCTAGTATTCTTATTTCAGATTTTAAAAAACTACCTACAAAATGTTTTTCTGCTAAAGACTAACTTCTGGGGATACACTTGAATATTTCCTTGGATAACCTGTAGTTCCCTCTTCAACATTCAAATTCGTCAGGATTACATGCTGAATGCATTTCCTCAGGTTACTTAAGTATGGTAGTACGATCAGTTGGTTTTCGCTAAGAAATACCTTGTAATTCGTCATTGAAACATAACTACATAAATGATATTCCAAAAACATTATATTAGTATGTGTCAACCAGAACACAAATCTGAATTAAACATTCGGAAAAAACCTTATTACAAAACCTACCCTAGTTAGTCTTAAGTAATGTTTTTCTATTTCTTGCATCGTACCAACAATTTGACAACTGCTAAAATCAGCAACCAAGTCATCACGCTCGTCAGTGTAAGTAGAAAGCAGTTGACTTGTTGTTCGTGCGATGGAACCAGATCCAATTGCAGGTGACTGAGAAAGATGATCCTTAAACCGACTAGCTCGCTGTGAAAGACGAGATTCAGTTGGAGCAGGTGGCTTTGAAACCATATTGCCACGCTTGCCGCGCCAGTTACCACCACGTCCTCGACCCCTCAAAACGGTCGCATCTTCACTTGAGGTATTGAAGTCGGTACTTGATTCAGCGGTTGGTTGACCACCTCGTCTTCGTCGTCTACTCTTGGGATTCCCTCTAGATGTTGGCTGCGGCGTGCTGCAATGTGAAAATAAATAGCCACGAGAATTCTCAAGAAAAACATGAGCTGAGAAAACAATAAACGACAATCAAACAATCATACAGGTGCAAGATGTACTTGGCTACATCATATAAAATTTATAGAAAAGAAAACAGCATAATTCTTTATCAAAAAGAGAATGAACATATATATCACCGAAAACATATTCGCCGTAAATCCTATTGTACGATTTGCTGAGTAATTATTAGATTTTCTTGTAATTAACAAATTGTCGGTATTGCGTTAATACAAACAATCAGGCAAGTGAATGTTGACTAATTAGTTTAGTCGTATGTCAAACTTATCTTGTGAATAACCAGAGACAGTATTGAAGTAGGTGCAATAGTTGGAGTTTACAGAACACGGAATCAAAACCAACTACTTACAAAATTGAGTCTAACATTGGATGTCTCACAAAAAGATGAAAATGAGTTCAAGACGTTAGTAACTAAAAGACACCAATTATTTGGTTAACTGACTGATGGGTATAAAATTATTTTTCGATTTTAATTATAACACTTCCAAACAGTGAGGCAGGTTAGACAGCAAATTTCAGAATGAACTGCGTGAGTGGGAAATTGATACGCGCACAGCTTATATATATATATATATATATATATATATATATATATAACAGGAAGTGGCACTAGACAACCCCGGTGAGTTATCAACACTAAAATAACTCGCGGTATGCCTTAACACTAAGTTAGGTATAGGAAATACTTGTTTGAAACTCCCAAATACATCAACCGTAACAGGACTTATCGATAAACGAGACCCAATACTATTAATACTAAGATTTGTGTGAAACTTCTGCGTTCGTGTTTGAGAAACGTTTCTGATTCAACTCCTAGTTCAAGAAACTCAATTAAAAATTCATACTTAATAAACTGAACTGTTCATTCACAACAGCTTTCTTTGTATCAGAGGAGTTGAAAAGAGATAAAGTTGAAAGGTCTTGACACAATCTAGTGTTGACAAAACAAATACAGTAAAAGTAAAATGTGGAAACTTCTGGCACACCTTTTTTGAGAATCCTTCACATCATTCATTTTCCGCAGTGCATGCCGGGAACCAGAGCGCGAACGAGAGTCCCGATGCCGCTGACGTTTTGTCCTGAAACTACTTGAGGATGAAGAATGACGAGAACCACGTGATTTCGAGGACGAACTAGACCTGGATCTATATGAACGCTTTCTTTGCCAATCTTTCAAAGGTTTGAGGATAGGTGAACGGCTAGGGGATTTCGATGGCAACTTTTTGGATTGTGGTTTACTTTCAACAACTGAAGATGAAAATATACTGCGGCCACCTCTAGTCAGAAGCCCGACAGGTAGACGTGCAGGAGCTCCTCTTGATGGACCCGTTGGGCGAAGTCCACGAGGCCCAGGAAGTTGGACAGGTCGCACAACACTAGATAATTTTAGTTAAAATGCAAACATCTAATTAAATACAAGTATGTTACTTACTGGGTTACAGCTACAAAAGTACGTGTAGAACTATGTGCGATCACCATAAACCCAGGATGCCAGTTGCCATGTCAATAATCAAAACAAGGGTTTAGGATAACCCAAGTTCCACTAAATAGGCATAATTTAGCCTCATGACAAAGAAAAAGCTCACTTTTACCTATAAAAAACTACCGCCTATTAGTCGAGAGACGAAAAGAACACCACTAAATAGTTACTGCGTAAACAATGAACAAAGGAAAACCAGCATTTCGAAAATAACGCAGGATATTTTTTTAGGGGATTATAAGTTAGAGATTTCTCCAATGCACAAAACTTATTCAAGTCAAAATACTAACTTATGATCAGTCATTTGCTTATTTACTGATGCTTGCAGCGACGGGTGCTGGGTTTGAATCCTGGTGGGGACAACACTCACTGAGGTAAGCGCATCCACCTAACGAGTCCCCAATGGAACGAAAAGTATGTCTTTACTTCCACAGTTAGCCACCAGCAAGCAAATAACAGTATTTTGGTAAGTTGGAACTGTCGATTTAACTCAAGGATAAAGCATTCTTGAATGTATACATTATCTTCAATTCTAAAGTAATAAACCTTAAGAAAGTACTATACTTACCACCACCACGCCATAAATGCACCCTTAGAAACGTTTTACGACATATTTCAAGAAACATGTGGTACAGAGATAACTTAAAGCCTGATAGGTGATATATTTCTCATACATAAATCAGGGAAAACACTGGAGGCATTCTTCAACTACAAATTTATTTCCGTATAAGATCATTCGATTCCTAGACAACCTACCTGGGAAGCATCTAAACTCCTCATGAAAGTTTAGCTTCCGCTAACTCACAACACTCGGAATAAGTCAGATACCTGAAAACATTTTAGGCTTCGGTATCAACATCTAGCCAGCAGTACGACTTCACCATAAGACCCTAATCACGGTTAAGTAATTTACACTACAATGGTAACTGTCTTTCAACTCACCACTATCCAACATAGCTTTGTGGCATAGTAGGATCTCAAGGGAAGAACCGTTTCACTAGCATAGCTCTCTGAGTTGTGACATACAAGCCTGACGACCATATCAAGGTAGCAGCTATCAGCACACATCATCACCATCAATATCAACATAGGACCAGCCATTACTGCGTAACGATCCAAATTGCCACACCTCACACCACTACATCAAATAAAAACGCAGTGGCAGTGAAGTGCAATGATGAAGAAAACAAAACTCAGTCAAAAGAAATACAAAAGTACGAAAAGAGAGGGAAAGAAAGAATGAGAAAATGGTGAGATTCGACAAAGCATCAAGATGAGGATAATGTGTGTATACATCTACACCACTGACATCGGTTCTCAGCCATATCACCTAGAGTCTCCAACTACTGGTTACTCTTGTTCCGCCGACCCCAACCACCCAGTATGCATCACCCCACATGACTCAAACCGACAGTCAGAGACTTCATACATTGGTGCCATGTTTTAGTCTGGCCACCTCGGACCTTTTTCCAGCCTGAACCTACTTCGGCCAACATTGTGTGATGAGGCAATCAGCGACTAGGCATACGTAACACGTGTCCCAACAATCTCAGTCCATCAAGGTTCACAACCTCACCAACTGATCTACCTCTCCTCCCTAAAACTCTACGCCTGACTTCTACATTACTCACCTGGTGACAGCACGGAAGGCGGTCTATACTACGAAGGCAACGGTGGTCAAACATCTAAACCCAGCCTTCTCATGTCTTCCACCTTCAATCAATGACCATGTTTCACAGCCATACAGTAGAACAGAGAGGACTGTTGTGCAGGTCCAGTACACGCGACCCTCAATAGACAATCGGATACCACGGCGGCACCACAGGCGGCGTAAGTTGGCAAAAGCCAGTCGAGCCTTTTGCATTCGTGCACAAATTTCATCGGCCACTGAGCCAATAGGACTGATCCCACTTCCCAGGTAGGTGAAGTGGCCAACACACTCAACCACTATACTCTCTATTGTTAGCCGCGGTGGGGCACCGTTGAAGACCAATCCTGGAGCAACAATTTCCATTTTGGTGGTGAGAACCGCATCCCAAACATTCTCAAATTCCCACTTAGTGTTCAGAAGACTCTGCAACTTCACCCAACACGACTATGTTATCTGCATATTCTAGGTCTAACAAAAATTCTCTTGCGGTTAGGTCAACCTCCGTGTAATCAGGTGACGAGAGGGAGACCTTCATAAGAATATCTATGATAAAATTGAGTAGAAATGGAGACAGTGGGCGGTCTTGACGGACACCACTCGACGAGTATACCTCCCCGGATATCCTACCATAGGCTATAACACGCCCATAGGTGTTCGAGTAGAGAGCCTTCCATTAGGTGATGCACTCACTCGGCACGCCTTTCAGTGACAGACATTGCCATAAGACTTCTCGATCAACGGAGTCAAATGTCGCCGCTTTCAGGTTGACAAGTACAGCTATTGTCGGGCGTCGGTAAGCCTGCCCGTGTTCCAGAGCCTGGCGCAGTGTGAATATTTGGTCAATACATCCGCGGTCAGGTCTAAAGCCTACCTGCCTGGTTCTCTCGGGCTTGCTGTTCCCGAGCTGAACTCAGGCGTCGGAGAATTATAGAACCTAGAATCTTAGACTCTATGTTCGTCAGGCTGATTCCTCTACGGTTATCACAGGAGGACTTCTCACCTTTCTTGAAGACCGGGGTGATAAGTGACTTAGACCAGTCACAGGGAATCGTATTTGATTCAGATATACTGGTTAACACTTCCGTTAACCTGGCTAAGAGCACCTCACCATCATCCTTGTGTATCTCAGGAGTTAGTCCGTCTGGTTCTGCTGCCCTTCCTCGTTTCAAGTTACCTACCGCTTTCTCGCCTTCTGCAAGTGTTGGGGGGGGGGACCTATTCTCAATGTCCCATTCAAGATCCGAATCGATAGCGGGCAGCGCAATGGTGGCTGGAGGCCAGTTAAACTGCTCCTCAAAGTGCTCTGCCCATCGTTCCAGTCGTCTCCCCTGCGAATGAATCCCAGACCCGTCCTTCTCCGCTATGGTCTCACTTACGGTTGTTGACCTTCCCGCCCCACCCCTAAGTTTCCTCAATAAGTCGAAATAACTCTCTACTGTCACAAATCGCCGCTGCCTTTCCCATCTATTTAGCCTTCGCTACCCACCACTGTTCGCGGTTGTGGCGTAGACTTTTTCTCAGTCTACTTTTAAGTTGTCTTCGCTCTTCATTGTACTCAGAGCCTGCAGGGATGCGTTCACGCGCATCCATTGATTCGGAAAAAGCTGCTGATATCCACTGGCTCTTTTCAGCCACTCTTTCGGAGTTGGCTACGGTCTTCAGTGCTGCTTTTACAGCAGACTCCAGATGGCAAAAAGGTAATTTTTCACTGAAAGCGGCTGCGATGTTCCCGTTGTCGAAAACATGTTAGGATCCAGTGTGCTGCAGAACAGCATGCCTCTTCCCACCTTACTCCTGAGGTCATGATAAATGGAGGATGATACATACTTTTACTCAAAACATCAGCTTGGTGCAGTGTTGGCACAGGAAATGTACCATAAGACGATGTCAGTGTGAGTTGCGTTCTGAATTATAAACTACTCGATAGGTAGTCTGCTCAAAATATAGGTTGCGATTGCACAAGCTTGTCCACAATGAGATTGTTCATGAATTTTTCTAGACGTAACTATCAACCGCGGTCACGGGTTTGGGACATCAGTTAGTGTTACTAATTCTTACACGATAGTTGTGGAACTGTCTAGTGTATTACTGTACGTGGGTCCGGAGTTGAATTCCTTCTATTATTGTTAATAGGTGGGCCGATCTATCCTGAAGATAAATAAATTGGTTTCCTATTTCATTCATTGTTCGCTTTGTGTTCTGAGTTTTCTAACCACTACCGATTTTGATGTGTTTTTTAATATATTCAGAAGACAAATATCTCACGATGTTTTGTGGCTTTTCTGCAACCACACAACTGTGTTTCAAGGTAATAAATTATTTTACAATGTGACATTGGACATTACTAACCAAACACTACAATTATATCAAGTTATCCAGGATGGAGGATTTTTCAGAAGAAACGTTTGTTCTTAATTTCTAATCTATGTTCCCAAGTCCTGATTTCCCCTTTTCTTATATATATGTATCACTGTGCCACCGTCTACTACTGACAGAGTAAAATTCAATGTGAAGATGGACTCAAATTTAAGTAGTGGGACTTTAATCAAAACTCCACGAGTGCACATGGTCTTCAGGTGCCAGAGAACAAAAACAAAGTGGTCGTCACGACCTGTAAGAACTATTTGAATTCCCTCCTTAGGACAGAAATCGTACTGCCTCTCAAATCATTACTTGCTCATACCAGTAACGACAATGATCAATGCGTTCAGAATGGATCAGTTTAGCCACTTGAAAAGCTATGGAGTATCATTTCAGAACAAAATGCTTGTTTAATAAGATCGACATCAATTTCACGTTGTGCGCTACTACTGCACATTTCTTACACGGGAGAAACGAAAAGCTATTTCACGAGACTTTTGCAAAAAAAGGTAATAAGCAGCTCAGACTGATACTGACTAGGTATTTATTGAGTACGAAGACAATGTTTCCTGCTTATAAGCTGACTACAATAGGGATCGAAGGAAAATATATAGAGGTCTTGAATGAAATACACTCAGAAACCACGTGCACTTTCGTACAGTAGGCAATGAGAAACACGTATTGTAAGTGCTAATACTGCTGGTTGCCCAGACCCCAGTAAATGTATCCCGCTTCGAAGCTACGACCATCTGTCGGTTAAGTGTCTAGACCAATGAACCGTAACACTGTTACAGTAGGTGTAGCCAGCGAAATTTAGGATAATAAATAGACCGAATAAGACATAGGCTACCAGCATTTCATTATATGCTTAGCTTTTCCATAGTTAATATTCAGATTTTGCAATGGGAACTGGAGGTAGTGTCAGATTGAGTGGGATATCTGGGGAAGCAGAGAAAACAGTATGTGAACCTTGAGATGATTAAGTTACAAATTCGTGGTAAGCATAAAGTCGTTTAATTATATAAGACAACAGTCATCCTAAGCCAAAAGTTTATAGTTTGCACAGATTAGTGCGTTGATTCCGCAGACAAAATAAATGCACAAGAGGTGGCTATGGTGACCCAATGACTTAGTTGATAACGCTCTGGTTTTTGAAACGATGGCTACTGGGTTCGATCCACGGTGGGATGAACACTACTTACTGGGGTGCAGGTAAAACCAGCTGACGAGTCCCAGGTAGGACAAAACGCGCGTACCTGATTCCTCTCTTAGTCACCAAGAACAATGCGAATGCTCTGAAGATGGACTGCAACGAATTCCTCGGAAATAAGGTATATTCGTACTCAGCTAGTGTGTGTAAACTGTTATTTATTCCTCATCCTGATACAACCTTTTTGTTATGATACCACTAATTTTTGATTCATTTTCTGTCATTGTAATGTGGAGACTTGAAGCGATACGCCTTTATACAAGGTTTCATGTCGGCTCGTTAGTCTGTTCAGGTTCAACCAACCATCTATCATTCATACGACTCATTGTAATGCCAAAAATCTAAAAAAACACTTTCTAAAAGTTTCCCTATTACCTCAGTATCTGTTACGGAATGAATGCATTTTAAGGATCACATTAACTACACAGTGAAAATGTATAAACGTATGGCTTCTTACTTGATGGAATTGCCTCTGATGCCAAAAGATTTACGAAAACTAGCGATTGCACGACTGGGAATAGTTGGGATATTTTCCGTCTTCCAATCAACCTTGATATTGTTTCGAAATATGTACTCTAATTTCTCCTTCAAAATTCGTTCCATTTGATCTTTCTCCTCACTTGTATCAATGCTGCAAAACGCTCGCTGAACATATTCCCTTGAAAAAATTCCCAAAAGAAAAGAAAGTAACAACACATGCAGAAAATAATACTTAAAAACCTAACGCTTCACAGTGGTGACTGGGAATTGGGGTGTGCATCTTCGCAATCTTGAAAATTAGAAAACAAGAGGCTTTAAGCACTCCAATTACCGGTTTTACAAATTTTCGAAGAACTATTTTTTGATTTACGGCAAAAGTAATGGGGTGCATGATCCGATATGGGAGGTTTCTTAACTGATTGGTTTCCTCTCACATTAAGAGATAGTCTATTTCACTAAGTTCGTAAAAAGCCTAGACAGTAGTTCTAACCAGTAAAAAATTAGTTGGGATCACAGTCACCCTAAAAATATTACGTTGGAAGCTAACAGATTTTACTTAAAACTATTAGATGAAGAACTCTTGTTGCGAAATTAACACAAGCAGAATATGCAAATTTTTCAACCACTTTCCAACGAAAGTAAAAATAAAAATGCGTTGCATGAGCTACTAATAATGGTCTACAACAATATTAAAAACGCAATTCCTGCGTGCTTTGAGTTATATAGTCTGAAGGATATCTAAGTAGAAAGTTAAAATAATCATCACGTTTGCATATCAGATCTTCCTCATTCTGTCGCCTCACCTAATTAGATTAATAGGCAACCGAAACTTCTGTACACATACAGATTTGTCAACCGAAAAATGGTTTCCCGCGAAAAACATTCAGTAAATTTAAAGTAGTGATTTCTAGACACCAGTCACATTGACGTGCGAAACCCAAAAGTTCAGAACAAAATATTGAGGTGTATGTCTACGCGATACTAAAATTAAGGCTTATAGCCAAAATCATAACAATAACTACGACTTATAACTACGGCGTTTAAGTAGGGAAATCCGCTGATTTAATTACTAAGAAAATCCAACAGGAACCAGCTTAGCACTTTAGTAAACGAAGAAACTACTAACCAGATGACCAACAATATTAGATAGACAGTCAATCACGATGGTCACATACAGTAAATGTGGAATTTAAACAAATACAGTAAAGAATGTCGACTGAAGAGTAGGTGAGTACTGGAGTTCCATAACAAACACAACTTGTGAGGTTACAACTGACACAACGGAAATGGATAAGTAAAGCATACTTAACATCACACCTCAAGACGACATAACTTCCCTAATCTATGAAACCCAACCTTGCACCTGACCATCATCGGAAATGACACAATGAAATATTGTCACAAATGCGGAGCTCGACCGCGTGGATGGAAATTACTAAAACCACTTTTATTCCTTCTAATAGAGAAGGCTTTTTCATGTCGTATCGTTGCTTAAGTCTGATAAGAGCACACACACCCTCGACAAGAGATTTTTCTATCGGTTACTGGGTGACAACGATTTCTCCAACGGTCCCATAAGATGATAGCGTGATAAAAAATGACAGAAACCAGAAAGTTCAGCTGTAATATTAAACACGATTATAATCTATCCAGATTTATGGGAACGGAAAACATAACGGGATGGTAGTGATCGAATAAAATAATGAATGGTGGAAATTGTAACGAACGTAGTCAAAGTGACAGACGTAACATAAAATTAGATTGTGGACGGTCGAGAAAACTGTATATTACAAACCGAGTATAATAATACTTCAAAGACACATTCTGTCTCATCTAAGATTTCGTAGCTGCCTTCATCACTAAGCTTACGTATTCGAAATCTGAGTTTGCAGATATGCACATACACCATGTACTTTAATATGCTTTCGCGCTTTTCATAATATTGGGCTCTAATATTTTGCAGATACAGGTAGTGGGTTGCAGAATAGATGAGAACTAAGATACCATTTGGAAGCAGTTACATGTCTCAGGGGACGGAATGTGACAAAAATGACTGGTTAATGATAGGTTTTCGCAGAGACTGTAAACAGCATACAAAGTTTCGGTATCGATTAACTCAAATACGTGTAGTTACTAATCCCTTTCCGGTACAGATTCAGCAGATTATTTATTTAAGCCAGTGGTTATGTATACGTTGAGATTTTAAAATCTATCAAACTAACTTACTTGAGCTCATCGCTCCATTGTTCTTTCACTCCTTTATCTTGAAAGCTAGCAGGAGGTTGCTGTAAAGCCTCTTTTGAAAGCGGTGCACATAGGTTGGTATCTGTAGTATTTTCAATTGGTATTGAATTAGGAGCATCTAAGTGTACAAAATAAGTCAAAACACGAAAGTGTATGCAGGAGATTAGAACATTCACAGACTTACACGAAATTGTAAATGGAAGCGCAATGCATAAGCCATACAAAGTCGTAAAGTATGGTACAGTAAAGCATGTGCAGCAGTAGCTGCTCACTACCGACTGTTACTTCAGCAAAGAAACAAGAATAAAAATAGGTTAAATAACTCAGTCAAGAACTTTAACATTTTAAGTACTTCAATATGTCATTGCATATTTATATGCAGTACTCTAAATGCTAAAACACAGTCACACCGTAAATTCACTTAACTAAGCCTATCAAATCAACTAACATAGTAGACATCAGAAATAACTCCACTCATCCTCGCATAAATGCTACTAACCCATTGAATTATGTCAGCGCACCTAGCACAAAACTATGTACATCGCGTAGCTGGTACCTTGACGTGGTGGTCTGGCTTGCATATCACAATGACCTAACAAGCCACGCTGGTGGAATGCTTGTTCCCTCGAGGTCCTACCATACCAGAAAGGTCTGTTGGGTAGTGGTTAGACGAAAAGCAGTTACCGTTATAGTGTAAATTGCTACACTATGATGGGGGTCTGAGGGCGAAGTCGTACTGCTGCTAGCTGGATGGGGTGTGACAGCAGTAAGGTGTTTCCCTTGGATGACCAGCAGTGCCAAGCTGATGCTGCCTTCTCAGTGGAAGGGGGGGTTAGAAAAGGTCGGCCCCAAAAATAACACACTCCACCACGCCCCACGGTCTGCCGGGCCGGCGGTGTTGGTTCACTTGTCGTTTCCTTTCGCTCATCCGGCCCCAAAAATACAAAAATTCAAAATAATCATACTCAAAAGGCTGGGTGTGACAGGCCTCAAGCAGATGTCCGATGGGCTCTGCGGTCACACAAATCTCTTTCAGGTACCTTAAGAAGAAATAGCCTTCCACGGTGTGGGCAGCCGGGAAGTGTCAACCGCCCTCACAACTCTGTCAGCACCCAAGTTTCTTCTGACTGCTATCCTCCTCCTCCATCATTACCTTCTAATCTTCCTTCACGTCTCTTAATTAATGATGCTGCATCATCTTCAATTTCTCCTACCTCTGCAGCCTTCGACAACGATCTGAGTCCACAGAACAGCATCCCTGGTCTCCTTAAACCACGCTCCAAATTACATATTGGAGCCTTCAATGTCCGCACCCTCCGTCAAATTGGCCAACAGGCTTCGTTGGCAAAGACTCTAGCAACTCGAGGCATGGATGTGTGCTGTGTTTGTGAGACACGCATACAGGACCCAAGTGTGGTTATTCACCTGACCTCTCCTGACCAATCTGGTGAATCTGCAAAATTCACCCTTCGAGTTTCTGGAGATTCGATAGCTAGCTCTCGTGGTCTTGCAGGTGTAGGTATAGCATTAAGCACCAGGGCAGAAAACTCACTACTAGACTGGATCCCAGTTGATAGTCGCCTCTGCGCTATGAGGCTGAACGGCACAGTGAGAACTAAAAGGAATAGTGAGACTCGCCGTTGTCTCTTTGTAATCTCTGCTTACGCACCCACTGACTGTAGTTCGGATGAAGTGAAGGACGAGTTCTACCATAAACTGTCTAACCTCCTCTCGAAAGCCAAACGTTCGGACGTAGTGGTTGTTGCAGGTGACCTCAACGCACAGGTGGGTAGACTGAGTGAGGCAGAAAGGCACTTAGGTGGCACTTTCGGAATCCCAGCTGAACGTACAGATAACGGTGATCGCCTATTACAACTATGCTCAGATAACCGCCTATTTTTAGCCAGCACAAATTTCAGACATAAAGAAAGGCACTGTCTGACCTGGCGTCCACCGAGCTCGACTCAGCGATGGACACAGATAGACCACATTGCTATTAGTCATCGCTGGAGAGGATCGGTGGAAGACTGCCGCTCCTTCTGGAGTACGTGTTTGGACAGCGATCATGCGTTGGTCCGAGCACGTATATGCCTGCGTCTCAATGGACGTAGAAAAAATTTGGCAACAAAACCACTACGAGTTCTGCTGGACAACGAAAACACCAAAGCCGTGTTCAGTGAGAAGTTGGCTAGGCAGTTATCGGAACAAAAGACTGTCACTCATCCAGAAGAAGCTTGGTGCCATCTTCAGTCTACTGTAAAAGCAGCACTGGAGACTGTAGCCGACTCCAAGATAATGGCTAAAAAGAGCCAGTGGATATCAGCAGCTTCTTCCAAACTAATGGATGCACGTGAATGCATCCCTGCAGGCTCTGAGTACAATGAAGAGCGAGCGCAACTTAAAAATAAACTGACGAAAAGTCTGCGCAACGATCGTGAACAGTGGTGGGCAGCAAAGGCTAAAGAGATGGAAAAGGCAGCGGCGATCGGTAACAGTAGACAGTTATTTAGACTTATTAAGGAGACTGGGGGGAAATGGTCAACAACAGTTAGTGAGGTTATAGCGGAGAAGGACGGATCGGCGATTCACTCGCAGGGGAGACGACTGGGACGATGGGCAGAACACTTTGAGGAACAGTTTAACTGGCCTCCAGCCACCATTGCGCTGCCCGCTATCCAGTCGGACCCTGAATGGGACATAGAGACAGGTCCCCCAACACTAGAAGAAGGCGAGAAAGCGGTAGGTAGCCTGAAACGAGGAAGGGCAGCAGGACCAGACGGACTACCTGCTGAGGTATACAAGGATGGTGGTGAAGTGCTCTTAGTCAGGCTAACGGAAGTGTTAGCCAGTATATGGGAATCAAATACGATCCCCTCCGACTGGTCTAAGTCACTGATCATCCCAGTCTTCAAGAAAGGCGAGAAGTCCTCTTGTGATAACCACAGAGGAATCAGCCTGACGAACATAGTGTCTAAGATCCTAAGTTCTATAATTCTCCGACGCCTGAGTGGAGCTCGGGAACAGCAAGCCCGAGAAAACCAGGCAGGCTTTAGACCTGGCCGCGGATGTATCGACCAAATATTCACACTGCGCCAGGTTCTGGAACATAGGCAGGCTTACCGACGCCCGACAATAGCTGTACTTGTCAACCTGAAGGCGACATTTGACTCCGTTGATCGAGAAGTCTTATGGCAATGTCTGTCACTGAAAGGCGTGCCGAGTGAGTGCATCACCTAATGGAAGGCTCTCTACTCGAACACCTATGGGCGTGTTATAGCCTATGGTAGGATATCCGGGGAGGTATACTCGTCGAGTGGTGTCCGTCAAGACCGCCCACTGTCTCCATTTCTACTCAATTTTATCATAGATATTCTTATGAAGGTCTCCCTCTCGTCACCTGATTACACGGAGGTTGACCTAACCGCAAGAGAATTTTTGTTAGACCTAGAATATGCAGATAACATAGTCGTGTTGGGTGAAGTTGCAGAGTCTTCTGAACACTAAGTGGGAATTTGAGAATGTTTGGGATGCGGTTCTCACCACCAAAATGGAAATTGTTGCTCCAGGATTGGTCTTCAACGGTGCCCCACCGCGGCTAACAATAGAGAGTATAGTGGTTGAGTGTGTTGGCCACTTCACCTACCTGGGAAGTGGGATCAGTCCTATTGGCTCAGTGGCCGATGAAATTTGTGCACGAATGCAAAAGGCTCGACTGGCTTTTGCCAACTTACGCCGCCTGTGGTGCCGCCGTGGTATCCGATTGTCTATTGAGGGTCGCGTGTACTGGACCTGCACAACAGTCCTCTCTGTTCTACTGTATGGCTGTGAAACATGGTCATTGATTGAAGGTGGAAGACATGAGAAGGCTGGGTTTAGATGTTTGACCACCGTTGCCTTCGTAGTATAGACCGCCTTCCGTGCTGTCACCAGGTGAGTAATGTAGAAGTCAGGCGTAGAGTTTTAGGGAGGAGAGGTAGATCAGTTGGTGAGGTTGTGAACCTTGATGGACTGAGATTGTTGGGACACGTGTTACGTATGCCTAGTCGCTGATTGCCTCATCACACAATGTTGGCCGAAGTAGGTTCAGGCTGGAAAAAGGTCCGAGGTGGCCAGACTAAAACATGGCACCAATGTATGAAGTCTCTGACTGTCGGTTTGAGTCATGTGGGGTGATGCATACTGGGTGGTTGGGGTCGGCGGAACAAGAGTAACCAGTAGTTGGAGACTCTAGGTGATATGGCTGAGAACCGATGTCAGTGGTGTAGATGCATACACACATTATCCTCATCTTGATGCTTTGTCGAATCTCACCATTTTCTCATTCTTTCTTTCCCTCTCTTTTCGTACTTTTGTATTTCTTTTGACTGAGTTTTGTTTTCTTCATCATTGCACTTCACTGCCACTGCGTTTTTATTTGATGTAGTGGTGTGAGGTGTGGCAATTTGGATCGTTACGCAGTAATGGCTGGTCCTATGTTGATATTGATGGTGATGATGTGTGCTGATAGCTGCTACCTTGATATGGTCGTCAGGCTTGTATGTCACAACTCAGAGAGCTATGCTAGTGAAACGGTTCTTCCCTTGAGATCCTACTATGCCACAAAGCTATGTTGGATAGTGGTGAGTTGAAAGACAGTTACCATTGTAGTGTAAATTACTTAACCGTGATTAGGGTCTTATGGTGAAGTCGTACTGCTGGCTAGATGTTGATACTGAAGCCTGGAATTCACACTGCGCCAGGTCCTGGAACATAGGCATGCTTACCGACGCCCGACAATAGCTGTATTTCTCGACCTGAAGGCGGCATTTGACTCCGTTCATCGAGAATTCTTATGGCAATGTCTGTCACTGAAAGGCGTGCCTAGTATGTACATCACCTTATTGAAAGCTATCTACTCGGACACTTGTGGGCATGTTAGAGCATATGGCGAGTTAACCAGGGAGCTATACTTATCAAGTGGTGTCCGTGTAGGATGCCCACTATCCCCATTCTTACCTAATTTTATCATAGATATTCTTATGGAGGTTTCCCTCTCGTCACCTAATTACACAGACGTTGACCCAATCACAGGTGAATTTTCTTTAGAGCTAGAATATGCAGATGACATGACATAGTCCT